CAAACTGCCGATACTGCGAAATGGCGTAGCTCAATAATCGCTGTGCGGATAGATTGTTATCTACTTATACTCTGCTGTGGCGCGTGTATCTCTCTTCAGGAAATGGTTGTGACGTACTGTGATATTGCGCTCGCGGAAACGTCCTCGTTGCTCCTTCAGTGCCTGAATCACCGCGTCATTCACATTCACAAACATCCGATTTTTTGGAACCTTGTGATAGAAGTCCGTGGTCTCAAATAGCTGTCGCACTGCCACTGAAATATATTATGCTTAGTAGAACATGTGTCTTTCATGTGTCTTTCTTACAGTCCAACCCATACCGTGACATGAAACGTACACAACTTCTCAAAATGGAAGGAAATGGAAATTAGCCAATTTTCAAGCCCAATTTTCCCTTGCTATGTTCAAGGTTACATAATGCTACTAGATTAGGTATTAGGCATTTTGAAGGCATTTTCCGCCATTTGACCCATGGAACAAGATGTGGCATTCCGGAGCCCCTAACTAAAGGTATTCGACACCTAAGCGCGGTAGAATGGTCGTTCAAAGCTAAACCTCTGAGAGTGGTTCTCTCGACACCAGACTGATTGCCTGTACTCTAAGCCGAACGCCGTACCTGACGTGGGAATAGGTTTCGTGTTGCGCATTCTACATATATTCCACTCCTAACCGTCCCTTCGGCCGAAATAAGCGAGGGAGGGGCTATGGTATTTGCGATTTTCGAGGTGTGGCCTGCTTGTGAAAATTTAAGGGTCCTTGGTTGCGGGAGGGAGAGCCAAATTCTGAGACCAATCTTCTTCTCATTTTACAGCTAATCACCTTTGCAGTTTGCCATGAGTACGGTAATGTCGATCGTCGAGTAGTCGGCATACGTTTGAGCAAGAGCATCTTTGCCCATCAAGTCCACATAAGGAATTGACGAACAATCTGAAACTATGGCATGAGTTCACCACAACATTTTGAGATTGTCAATACTATTCAAAGGCACATCCCATGATGATGAGTTCAGAACGTAGCGGATAACCTGGCAAGGACCTGGGATAGCAGGCGATGCGGTATGACGCTTACCTTGTGGAAACTTAGAAACTGATGACCTAGAGCTCTTTCGCTTGAAAACTCTTTGATGGGATTCCGAACTGTGGACAGTTTTCTTTACTTTGGTAGGTCCGCAGCGACGTGTTGTCACTATCTATACCGTTTCGTTGATCTACTACGCTTGTAGGCGGATTTTGTGACGAAATAGCAACTTATTGGCAATTATTTTAGAGATGGTTAGTTATGCAAGAAAGAAGGAAAGATCAAAAAATGGCCAGACCCGAGAAACGGGAGCTCTACCTTTCCCGTTGCTTTGGCGCCTTGGACGAGCCGTGACCGGTGCAAAGGACGAATGGGCAAGTTGCGCGAATGGCGCTCGTAAGGCCATACTAAAGACGAACACAACCCGGTTCCATCCAGTAAGAAGAGACATTTTGATTTAGAGCGGTCATTGCCCTAAAACCACGGAAAGCATATTCTTCTTTTGTAAACATTTGGGACTAGGCTTTAAAAGAGGGAGGGAGACTCCCTAGTCTCTGAGCAATCTTCGTTTCCCCGCGAGAGACTTCCTTCCCCTCCTAAGTTTAGTCTTGGAGTCACTAGGTGATTACTATTTTTCATTGAAGTCTATGTCATCCAGCACATCATCGGCCAAGCTGCGCCAGAGTGCACCGGTTGGTGGGTGTTCCGAGAGGGCTACGGGTAAGGCCATACTGGGGCATATTCTTCGATGCGAAGTGTGTGTCCGTCGCACCCTTAGTAGGTTCACCTATCTCACCACTAGGTAAGTTTCTCGTTCTTCGACTATCCTTCTTAACGTGGAATCCTCCTTCAAGGTTATTTCTCTCACTTCCTTTTAAATCGCCGCTGCTTCCTGAGCTTTGCTCAACAGGGAACAAGGAAGCTCGCACTTTCATGGTTTACGGGTTGGTTCTCGACTTTTATGCTTTTCTCTCTTCTTTTTTCATTAACGCTGACCCATTTTCAACCCTTGAACCCACTACTTTTGTACTTGGGCGGGATTACTAGAAATTGTTGTTGAGGTGTGCCTTTAGGATGAGCAACGATATCGGATGCTTAGAACTCATAACTCATATTCAGCAATGCTAATGACTGCAATATTTCCTCACCAATAATGATATGAGTCAATTGAGTGACGACGTGCTCGGTTGGATCTTCCATTACTGAATCGCTGGACGCATCAGCGACTCTGCGACCCACAAATCGTAACTCTGAAAGGATCTGATACATTCCAATCTGTTTTGTTGCAGCGCATGTATTGTTGTGTTTTCTGAATTTGCATTGTTGTACTCCCAACAATTTGAAGGACGAATTGATCGAGTGATGAGCGTTAAAGGCGACTTTTTTTTCCAGTTTCTGTGCCCACGGGTTTTTTTTTTTCCAAGGTTCCATTCCTACACAAGCATACCCCTCACAATTATCCTCGTTTACATTTCTCTATATTTCAAGTCACTGGACTATGTCCAATGTCTACTGCTTCATTGCATACACTTGAAGGTGTGTATTACGACCGAACATGTGATTAGGAGAAAATGCGCTCGAAAATGAACGCGATTGTGCTAATTGCTCAACCAGTAACGAAGGAAAGCAAAAAAGACTGCTAAGATCTCTTGAAATGAATGGCGCACTGACCGAGCGTGAACCTCGCCCATACGATCTGTGTGCGCTATTTAATACCGACTGGGGCTTTTAGCAGTTTTTTTCTGCTCTTTTCAAAACTCCTTGGTACAAAAATACTCCTGTTATACTTTCGGTCAAATAACCTACGCCCTCCTAATCTCGAAATATGCATATAGCGTTACTCTTAAAATTTCTCTACACGTCGATTACTTACGCATATCGCTTGCCGCTTTAGAAGCCTCCACATTCTGCTCCGTGCTGGATTTCGACTCCGCTGCCACCCGTTCATTTAACTTAGATCTCACTGAAATAAACACTTCCAAGTTGCAGTAGGTCAAGTATGCCAATATTTTATTCCCAGAGTAGTGCCTATAATCCCAAATATGCATAACATACATGTAATAGAGTACGAAACACCAGAGTAGTGCCTATAATCCCAAATATGCATAACATACATGTAATAGAGTACGAAACAGAAGAATTGCACATTTCCTCGAGAACTTTGAATTGGACTGGGAGGTTTATTTTCAAACCGGTGCCACGTAAAATCCGTAGACACGTCTACTCAGATCGAAAGACATAGACTGTATTTCCTTTATTAAAACCGTTAGATGGAAGAGTGGTGTAGTGGCCAGTGGCGCTGATTACCATGCGCGCGGTCCGGGGAACAAATCCTGGGTCGTGAGTCGTCCCGGGCTAACCAAGCCTTCCATCTCCTCCGGGGTCGGGTTAATT